GATGCTCATGGGTCACCTTTTGTGGCCTCATTTTCTTTTAGGACTTGTGGCCATGGTTTTGTACCTTTGTCGTTTTTGGACGTTTTAGTTATGCATGGACTTGGTACTTTTGTGTTTGTTTTGGGGTGACGTAGGGGGTTGTTTTTTGTTGTGGGCCTTGTCCCGCCTTCCGGGGGATCACTGCCCTTCCCTTGTATGTATTATGGACCCTGTTATGTTGTCATGTTGTTTTTATTCCATTAAACCACCTTTTTTGTACTAGCACCTGGGTCAGCCATCCTGAGTCCAACCCCAGTTCTCCCTCACCCTCCTGGTGAGGGGGACTAAACCATAACAGTGCCAGGGAGAGCGCACAGAGAGAATGTGTGCTTGCAGCAGGGACATATCAATAGCTTTGCATTGACAGAACAGTCGAGCGAGAGTTACATTAGGTGACAGCCAACCATCCGAGCAAGTAACACACATGCAGTATCAACGCCCAGTGGCAGGTGTGCGCTCAAGCTCTGCGTTGGGGGGGAGCCTCCTGATTGCTCAGAACTGAGTGAGCCAGTAAAAATTCAGATGCATCCCAAAGATAGAAGCTAGTAAACGGACATGGGGAAGCCCAGGAGGATGCTGTGCAAATGTCCTCCACAGCCATCCCCCTGAAGAGTGATGTGGAGGAGGATATTGCTCTTGTGGAGTGAGCTCTGATGCCAGACAGGGGATCTCTCCCAGCTGACACGTATGCCTGTATGATGGCCTCACACAACCAGTGAGACAGCCGCGCACTTAATCAGGGGCCTCCCAAGAGAGTGCTCCCTGTAATGCACAAACAAGTGCTGGGTTTCTCTGGGCATGATGAAGCCCGTATCGCAGCCTGGGCAAATGGTGATGGTGATGTGGCGCTGTAATCCGGCGTTGAAGGAACTTCGCCCTTTAGACATGCTTTGTTTAGGAAATGCTCTTTAAAACTGCTGAAGAAGGGAGGGAGCCAAACTCAGGTCACATTGGCATTTATGCCACCACAGCAGACCTGAGTACAGGGTACAGGGCGCAAAAGAAATCTCTTCAGGACTGCACATGCGTGATGGATAAACCCAATAGTGACAGCTCTTAGAGGGTGAAACCTATACAAAATAGAACAATTACTTTCTACCCTAACCAGAAGCCTTGGCTGAATAGGGAGGCTTGTTCTCTTCTGAAAGCATGGGACTCTGCATTTAGGTTTGGGGATGCATCAGCATTGAGAACAGCAAGGAGGACCCTGGATGCAGGAATTAAAAGGCCAAGGCCAGCTATGCTCTTAAAATACAGGGGCATTTTTCCACTGCGGACCCACGGAGCATGTGGACAGGCAGGTGTCCAGCACATCCTTCTTTACCTGATGCCCTGAATAAGTTCTACTGTATGCTCGTTTTGAGGCTTCCAACACTTCCCCCTGCACCAGGTTCACTATAGCACCAGGCGAACTACCATTTAGTGTTGCTGCAGAGGATGTGAGGAGGTCCCTGCTCAAAATTAACCCACTTAAGGCAGCGGGACCAGACTGCATCCTGGGATGGGTCCTGAGGGATGCTGCTTATAAGCTTATGGAGGTGTTGACAGACATTTTTAATATTTCACTCTCCCAAGCAGTACAACCAACATGCTTCAAGAAGGCCACCATCATTCCTGTACCAGAGTCCTCCATAGTGTCAGGTATGAATGACTATTGCCCTGTAGCACTTACTCCTATAGCAATGAAGTGCTTTGAGATACTGGTGATGGTCCATATAAAAGACACTGTTAACATCAATGGGGATCCATATCAATATGCTTACAGGAAAAATTGGTGCACGTCTGATGCAATATCAGCAGTTGTCCACCAGGCCCTCACCCACCTGGAGAACAGGGATGATACATCAGGCTACACTTTCTGGACTTCAATTCAGTCAACACAATCATCCCACAAACTCTGGCTAATAAGCTGGCATCACTTGGACTTAGACCATTGATGTGCAACTGGGTGCTGGACTTTTTAAACAACACCCTTGGATTGACTGTTAAGATCCAAGATTGATCATCTTCTTCCATCATTCTCAATATCAGCTCCCCTCAGGATTTTGTTTTGATCCCCCTCCTGTACACTTTGCTAACCTATGACTGCTCAGCCATATATCCAAGTTGTCATATTGTTAAGTTTGCAGATGACATGGCTATGGTGGGATTAATCTCCCACGACAGTGAGTCACAGTACAGACTGGAGGTACAGTAACTCGAGGTCTGGTGCAGGGCCAATAACCTCTACATAAATGTAGAGAAGACTAAGGAGATGATCATAGTCTTCAGGAGGAGTAGTCACCTTCACCCTCCCCTGCACATCGCAGGCGCAGTGGTACAGGTGGTCTCTAGCTTCAGGTACCTTGGTTTGCACCTTGTAGACAAACCTGGTCCAACAACACAGCCAGCATTGTAAAGAAGGCCCACCAATGCCTCTACTTCTTAAGGAAGTTGAAATATTCTGGCCTTGGCCCTCCTGCCCTCTTCTTATTATACAAATGTGTAGTGGATAGTGTCCTGACCCATTCCATCACCATGTGGTATGGTAACTGCACTGCAGCAGATACGTAGAAAGTCACTGCAGTGGGTCATTAAGGCTGCACAGTCACTGGATGCAACCTACCACCCATTAGCAATATTTATGCCAGCTGTTGCAGGAGCAGGGACACCAGCATCATGAAGGATCCCACTCACCCTGCATATGGTCTGTTTGCCATATAGACTAATGAACAGTATATCATGCAATGACTGGTTTTAGATGCTGCTCATTAAGTGTAATAGCATATTATAAACTATTATTTTTTAGGAGGATTCATTTAGATTTTTAAATTTATTTATATATATTAAGATTCTACTGGGCCTGGAGTATTGTAATTTCATTCTTTCATGTACCATGATGGAATGGCAATAAATAAAACTTTGACCTTTGACTTCCATCCAACCTGATGGAGCTTGAGAGGATCTGCTAGGAAGAATGGGATAAACTGCCCAAATCCAAGTGTGCAAAGCCAGTAGAAACCTGCCCACAAAGACTATACACTGCAATTGCAGCCAAAGGACCTTCTAAAAAGCAATAAATTAAGGGCTCTGAATACATTTATAAATAGCAGATTTTAGTGTTTGAGTTTCAGTAAATTTACAATTATTTCGAAAACCATGTCATTATGGTTTAGTGAGTGTATAGATCAATCAAAATCTGAAATTTTATCCATTTACCTCTATAAGAAAGTGTGCAAAAAGTAACAGGGTCTCAATACTTCCTGAAGCCACAGTATCACATGAACTTTGCCCTACTCCATTATTGTAAACTGGAGTGTGTGCTTCCTTCATATTACTCGGATCCGCCATTAAAAGAATGAATTAGCTCATAGATGGACACGACCTCATCTCTTCTTGTTTTATTGTTATAATAAGGCAGTCAAACGTTTGAAGAGTCTTCTTAAGCTGACAAGTGTTTGGCTCAAGGGAAATGGCTGATAATAGAAAAACAATATCAGAGATCATTATTGACAGTCTTAAAGTATTTGTGTTTAATTGGGTGATTAACAGTTATGTGCATTTTTGTAAGTCCTTTGAATTGATTGTGACGTGAGAGTAACAGGTTGGAAATTCTGATTGAAGGTGGAGTACTGTAACACAGTTTTGTTCTTTTTTAACAATACAACACAAAGAAACTATTTAGTTTATTTAGTCAGATTTCTCTTAGAAGAATTTCTGAAATACTAATGTCAGCTAAAGATGTAACCATATAGTATATAAGAATTAAAGAATGATTTCTAGATATCATGACACAGTGTTTTTTTTTCCCCATCGTACTGGTTTGTACTTATGCAGACGGGGTGTGCTGCATCTCCATGAGAGTAAGGGTATCCAAGACCTGGGTCTACCTCGCTGGGAGTTGACTTTGTGTCTTGTTGTGGTGGTTTTCATCCTCTACTTCAGCCTGTGGAAAGGTGTCAAGTCCTCAGGGAAGGTAAAGGCCCAGACTACCAAACAACAACAGCAACAACTGTTGCTTTTTCATTGTGTACTTCTTTGGATTAAAAAATTACAACCTGAATCAAGAATGTCTCGCTGTCACAGACCCATTTTGTAGACTTCTTATGAAAGAGTATAAACTGTTGGTACTGGGTCAAAAAGTCCAATCAAAGTGATAAACATTGTAAGGATTAAAGAGTGCTTTCCCATTTAGTATTTACATTGAGTGCTTTCTAATATACCGTAGCAAATTGCAGCAAACACTACTGTACATACAGTGTTTTTGATTGTTCTATCATGTATAATCTTGCAACTCTTGGAGAGAAATACAAAGTGACATGGTAATATACACTGGCAATAATTTTGTGTTTCTTAACAGGAAAATGTGATTTTTTTCCCCCTTTCATCTGTTTATTCGGTGTGGGTATTCAGGTGGTGTACATTACAGCCACAATGCCTTATGTGGTACTTTTTGTGTTGCTGATTCGAGGCACAACTCTAGAAGGGTCAATGGACGGCATCAGGGCCTACCTCCATGTTGACTTCCGTCGGCTCAACAATCTAGAGGTAAGAGAAAATACTTTTAGACACAACCCATCTGTGAGTGTTATTGCTGTGAGTATGGAATCCCAGGTAACGTTGAGTTCAACGCTGAACAGACCTAAAGTTTTGTGTTGCTTGTTACCAAGGGTAGGGGTTACAGTATGTTTTTGCTGATGTTTGTTGGTTTTTTAACAGCATAGCTGAATAAGTAATGAACATATTGTGATAATATAGTTGACTCACTGTGATTATTATTAGTGTATTCTTCCTTTGTTAGACAGTCTTGGAAGAACAGTGTCAGTGGTTGGACAGTTGAGCGGACCTGGTTCTCAGAGGTGACCATTACAAGCCAGCTGGGCCAGCCACTGCTTAACTTGAGCAAATATGATGCAGATGCTGTGTGTCAAGCCACATATCTGCTCTTTGCTTGGGCGAGAGTAGGGTTCAGGTGCATTGTTTTAAGGGTACGCTAAGTTTGGAAAATGGTGTTACTTATTGTGGGGCTCTGAAGATTTATGATGGCATGGCCTGACGTCCCCCTCTTTGGGGCCAGATAATGGGTAAACATAATTTAACTATACTGAGATTCCATATGAATGCTCTTTTCCATTCTCTGGCACATTTAATTGTGTATTATTGACTGATTACATAGAATCGTATTGGATTACTGTGTAGTGTTATACTGAATATGTCAATGTGTGTGTGTGTGTGTGTGTGTGTGTGTGTGTGTATACATATACAGTATATATATACATGGATACTGATGGAAAGTAGAAAGGCACTTTGTGTGTTATGTTATGTCTTTTGATATTTCATGGCACCAACAGACTGTTGTGTCCTGATGCTTTTCTTCTTTTCTCTCTCTTCTATCCACTCACCCCAACCAGTTGAGGCAGAAGACCACCCATTAAAAGCTGGGGTCTGTCAGAGGTTTCCTCCCTAAAAGGGAGTTTTTCTTCCCCACTGTCACCAAGTACTTGCTGAAGTGGGAATTGTCGAGTTTTTCTTATAATAGTCTAAGGTCTAGAACTGATTATGTAAAGTGCCCTGAGACAATTGTTGTTGTGAATTGACACTATACAAATAAACTGAATTTAATTGAATTTTGATGGAACAATTGATTAAATTTTGGAGCTGATTTAGTTCATAATTTGCACACAGGCATATTTTAAAAGATTATTAACCATTGTGAGTGCTGGAAAAGCTGTTGATTGTATGTTATTGTATTGCCTTGTGGCCAAAGTGCGCTGCTGTACTGCTGAGGACTCCAAGCACATAGACAGCTAGGAAAACTCTATGCAGCGACAGCTGGGTGAGAGCCTGGTGGCAGAGATTTTGAGCCAGGCTCAAAGATGTTTTCATTTGTAGGACTGGTATTATGCCATTTTATTACACTTTGACATTTATTCAAGTGACAAAGTAACCACTCGGACTGAAAATATGTGGTCAGTCTATCCAAGTAATGCCAATTTATAATTTGTTCTGATGTTTTCAGAGATGCGAGTACTTGTTATTTGACCGAGCTAGCTCTTTTAGCAGGCAGCTACATCTTGAACAGAGCTCAGTAGTCTCACAGTGAGGACACTAGTGTTCCAGCTGAACATTATAGCTGCGTTTCCACTGTTGGAATTTAATGAGCAGTACAACCCATGCTTCCCTTTACCGTCAGCCTGCATAACCTTACAGGTTGATGAAGACCACCCTACTTTTCTTTTCCACTGTATTTTTTCATGTCCCTCTCTGTTCACAGGAGGGAGGGGCTGTGCTCCTCACACACACACACACACACACACACACACACACACACACAGCTAAGCTGAGGGAGCACAGGATGTGAAGTGCCTCCATAGTGTAATAATCAACCAGTAATGGAGAATGTCTGAGCAGTTTATCAAATTGCTGTTGAACAAGCAGAACACAAACTTGCAGAAATGTGATGTTTTAACCCCTTTGCACACAGCCCATGTTTGTCATGTTTGTCATTTTTCTTGAATAACTTTCAAACTATTAATGAAATCATTATCATTCCAAATGTCAGCAGTAAGTTTTCATGGTCAAGCCATCATATTATGATCATGGGGATATTACTTTTATGGAATTTTGCGGAAACTGAGTTGCCCCTTGGTGGAGGTGTGCACTCTCTGAGTTCTGGCTCGCTGAACTCTGGTTTTGTGATAAGCTGCAGAACTCACAGATACAGTAAAACCTTGGATTGTGAGTAACCTGGTCTGTGAGTGCAAATGAATTATACTTGCAATCCAAGGTTTTATTGTACATCCACTGACACACAAAAACATTTCCATGTTGATTTAGAGAACCCTCATTTGTGTTACTATAATTCATTAGGTGAAGTAGGAAATCTCAGGCTCTGAAGGCTAGATTCACATTGATACCTTCATATTATTCATCCATTATCAATACCACTTATCCTGAAGATGGTCATGGGGGAGCTGGAGCCAATCCCAGCTGACACTGGGCGAGAGGCAGGGTACACCCTGTACAGGTCACCAGTCTATCACAGGGCTGCCACATAGAGACAGTCAACGACACACACCCACACTCACTCCTACGGGCAATTTAGAGTTGCCAATCAAACTCAGCTCCATGTTTTTGGACTGTGAAAGGAAGCCAGAGTCCCCGGAGAGAGCCCACGCAGGCATAGAGAGAACATGTAAACTCCGCACAGAAAGGCCCCAGGTCGACCAGGACTTGAATCTTCTTGCTGTGAGGCGACAGCACTAACCACTTTTCCACCATGCCACCCCTTTCCATATCAATGTATCCCAATCGGTCAAAACTTTTAAGACACCCCTGTTTTTCTGTTTTTTATTTTTGATATTAAGGCAATTTAATTCTAACGAATAACCTTCTGTGGTACAAAGGTAAAAAGGTCATTGCCAGGATTAAAAAAAAAAAGTCACCCAAATTTTTCATATAAAACAGGACTTTTTCAAAGATCAAGTAACATAATAGCTTCCATCTTTTCTGCAGTAGGGGAATTAAATGAACCACTGAAAACCGATCCAAACAATTCCTAGTTGTCCCAACTTTTGCTGACTACTTACATACAACAAATTCTATCTGTACAAAGGTAATGTTGGAAAAGACTGTTACTATACCATTTGAAGCATTTTTTTTGAAAAAAGACAATTACTAAAGGAAGTCAGGCCTTTATAGGGTTTCATCCTATAGCAAGGTAATGACACCCCCATCATAAAATAAAGTAAAGTAAAATAAAATAAAAATCCCCCAGACTGTGCAGATTAAAAAAAAAAAGAGATGTAGGCTTCATATGATGGAGTGCTCAGCATAGTGTCCCAACTTTCTAGATGAAGAGTGAAAGCAAAGCAGCCTACAAGTGCAACACATCTGTGGATACTTATGCAAGGAATTGTAGAAAGAATGCCACACTTGTATTTGCCTAGCGAATTAGGTGTTCTAAAACTTTTGACCGGTAATAAGTTCATTATGGGAGGTACATATACAGTATGTGGGAGGTATATTGGTCATTAAAATGGGAAAATGAAAATAAGAAAATATTGTTCTAAATAATGAATAAATCAATATTTACAGTATATTAAAGTATGTCCCCACAATAGTATGTGTGTATTTATGTGTTTCACAATGTTTGTGGTATTTTACCCTGTAAATTTGAAATTTAAAAACTTCTTGTTTCTCATTTAATTTTGCCATAGGTGTGGATTGATGCTGCTACCCAGATATTCTATTCACTAGGAGCGGGATTTGGTGTGCTCATTGCATTTGCCAGTTATAACAAATTTGATAACAATTGCTACAGGTAAGAGCTTACACTATATTTGTGATTTTTCCTACAGAAACACAATCATCCTGCTGTTTCTAAGCAGTCTGCCTTTTCTAGCATGTAACTAGATCAAAAGCAGCAGAGGTGATGCTAATCTGTCCACCTGTCCTCAGTTGCCCGGTGGTAACAGGACAGAAAAATTACAGGGGGGGGGGGTGGGGGGGCAGATGATAATCAAAGGCTGTATGTTGACAGTTTTGTCAACGAGTTGCTGGTCCTCAGAAAAAGCAGGCATGTGGTCGGCTAATCTTTTCCCACATCAGCAGGTTGCAGCAGTGGTGCTGTTCGAGATGCTGCCGGCAAAACAGCAGTTTGAACCATCATGGTTGTAAATATATTACACCCAGCAGACTAAACATATCCAGGGCTTGAAGCAAGGACAATTTCTGTGCCTGAAATTAGGCTCTCCCTGGAAATCTCTACAACACTTTATGCTGAAATGAATTCACTACAGCAGTACTTCTTCCTAGAACACAAAATGGTTCTTATCATACAGTATAAATGATGCCCCATAATGCAAGTATCATGATGGAATGCTCTTTGTTGCAAATGAAGAAGTCAGAATTAGGTAAAGTAGCCCAGCAGAGCTGGTGACCAGCAGAGAAGACAGAATATGCAAAAATAGTGCAATGAATGAATAGCAGTGTGTTCTTACAGGATAAAAGTGTAAAAGAACCTGCTGCAAAGTGGTACACAGAACATTAGGTTATTCGCCTAACTAACTATAATAAATATTAATATACTAAGTAACTACACTATAATAACTAGAGTGATTATACTAACTAAAACTAATCACATATTTGGTTTTATAACCCTTTAAAGTAAACTGAAACTCAAATAAATTGGTAAAAACCAAAATACTATCAAATTTGCTGAGACAAAGAAACACATTCATTAAAACAAACAAACAAAAAAGCTAGGTTTAAATGTTTTCTCCTGGCTAGAAACATCAATCAGAAGTGTTCAATATCAGGACACAGTACTGCTGTCTTTCTTTGTTGGATATGTCTATTATATTAAGCAGCTGCTTTCATGGCAAGCATGACTCAAAATGGCCATCCAGTTTATTATTACTGTAGTTATCTAAATTGAGCTACAGCATTTTTGTTGAAACAGAACCTTAGTATTTGAACTGGGAAGCTTCCAGTTATTCAATGAACAAAAATGCCTTCTTTGTTTGCTGCTTAATCTTAACAATAATTTGTCTGATCATGTTTGTGTACAAAGTACAGTATATCTGATCCTATGCCTAATGTCTGTAATGTACATTTGTCTTATAGATGGTTTTAAGCACAGGCTTTTGTAATGTGTAGCAGCATGTGTGTGTGTGCAGTGACCTGACTGTGAAGAGCAGAGCTGAATTAAAACTTGTTCTATCAAAGGCTGCACTCAATATAAAAAAGAAAAGAAAAACAGGAGGAACACCAGAGGGAACAAAGTGATTAATGGGAAGGTTTCTGCTTCCTCAGCCTAGGAGGTGGCCAGGGTCAAGATGACTTGGTTCATTCTGTCAGATTACCTTAACATTCATGGCCCCAGAATAGCACAGTAATTACTGATCAAACCACAAAACAAGAATAGAGAACAAAAGCTTCTTGACCTGAATATTCCCTCTTAAAGAGTGTTTGGCTGAAGATCAACTTGTGGACAACTTGAAAGATATCAAGTAACACATGGCCCCAATTTGACTACATGCATGCCACATATTCATTGTAGAAATGGAAAACTTGTATTGAACTTAAAGGGACACTGCTTTTTAAATTTTTGTTGTGTTTCTTTTTATAGGGATGCTCTCTTGACCAGCACTGTGAACTGCATCACCAGTTTCTTCTCAGGGTTTGCCATCTTTTCTGTGCTTGGATACATGGCAAGAAAACATAACATGAGAGTAGAAGATGTGGCGACAGAGGGTAAATATACATTTCTCACTCTCATAAAATGTTTAGCCATCCTTTCAATTTCACACTATGTAGATGTCGTAATTTTGTGTGAGCATGCTTCTGTGTGTGTACATGCAGGGGCTGGATTGGTGTTCATCATTTATCCTGAGGCAATTTCTACACTGCCTGGCTCAACATTTTGGGCTATTGTGTTCTTCATTATGCTGTTGACACTGGGCATTGACAGCTCGGTGAGTCTCAATAATCACTAAAAGTGGAACAGACCATATCTTTATGAACAGAAATGCAGTCTTTTTGGCACGATGGAATGGACTGAGCCTCAGCTCTATACATGGACTGATACTGTGTTACGGTTTAGTCCCCCTCACCAGGAGGGTGAGGGAGAACTAAGGTAGGACTCAAGATTGCTGACCCAGGTGCTAGTAAAAGAGGAAAACAGCGTGGAAAACAAAATGACGTACAATACATACCACGAATATAGGGCTTTTACGGGGTATGCAAGTTAATGCTCCAGCGACGATGGAGCATCTGCCAGAGGTATAAATAAGGTTAGAAGGTAATCATCAGGATGCACCCCAGCTGTGCGCATTGACAAACGAGTCGCTAATCATTGAAATGCAACACAGCTGAGGTGCAGATCCCACAGGATTGAGAGAGCAGAGGAGAGAAAGGTGGAAGAGAGGCAGGTCGCGCCAAGCGGACCTGACATACTGAGAAGAAACTGATGTTAGAAAGGCACCTTGAAGAGAGGATTCAAATGCATAAAACAAGTCATATAAAAACACTTTACAAAAAATTAACTTAAAGTTCTTGAGAAATGCCGGTGGACCAAAACAACACTTGAGAGGGTCACTGAAAACTCAGGTAAATTGAGACAGATCAGGTTAGAGTTCAGGATAGCAGATAACAGACCAAATCTCTTACTAAAGTACAAGATGGAGGATATTCAGCTTCTTTTCACAGGGAAATAATAATTAACTTAAATTCTATTCATGGGCTCAGCAACAGAGAGCAAAACATTGAATAACGAAACCCATCTCCACAGGGTAGGCACAAATGAACTTTATTCACAATGGTGAGTAACACAACCTTTCTCCACAGGACAGAAAAAGAAACTTAACTTCTTTTCCTAAAAGGCATGTTACTAGACAGTCTTAAATTCAGGGATTCACTGACATAAGGCTGGTATTCTCACATGAGACGAAAAAATAATCCCTTGGTGTGCAGCATTTGAAGTGTAGAGCTAAAACCAGGTCATAGACAGATCTTCTTCACAGGTCAGAGCTGTGATATAGGCAGCTAATAGCGTCTTGCCTCACCAGAATGAGAAGTACGAGGAAGCTGTCATAGCGGCATGGAGTTCTTAGGGTGAGCCCAATAGAGAAACAGAGAAATAAGAGACTGGCTCGCATGGGGGTCATGGATGCTGAAGACACTCTGACAAGGGCATGTGAGTTGGTAATAAAGAGTCGACATTAATGATAAGATGAGAGGAAGGTGTGTGAGGAGATGGAAGTGCATGTGAGCAGCAAGAGCAGAGGGTTGCATGTGCACATACCTGCAACACGAAATGGCATCGCATGACTGCAGACAAAACAAAACAAGAAAACATGAACACAATACAAGGCATGATTATGACAGTATACCCCTTGTAATGACAGCCCCAGATGTCTTCTGAATGCACCCTGAGATACTGGAGAAGGCACAAACTGATAACTGAAGGATTAACCACCTTGTAAACTGACAAACTGGGGCGCCAGTTTCCTACACTCAGCCCACAGAGGAAGCTCTCTGGTAGAAAGTTAGGCCTTCTGGCCAGTGGTATATACAGGGATACCAGAACACCATCAATTGGCACTAAGGCACAGAGCAGTTAGGATATTGCCTTGAGCCATATCCAACAACACCAGTGCACCTGAGCATGAACAGAGGGACCAGGACTTATTTTTCCAAGGTAGGGAACAAAGGAACAAAACTGTAGACAATGTGGAGTGACAAGAAACCAGTGGCAGATGTGAACAGGGTGTTATGAGCATACTCAACCCAAGGTAAGTACATAACCCAGGTGGAGGGGTCCTGTGAACATAGGCAACAAAGAGCAGTTTCAAGGTCTTGGTTGAGGCACTCTGATTCCCCATTTGTATGAGGGTGGAACCCAGATGAGAGGCTCACAATGGCCCCTGACTGACAGCAGAACTCTCACCCAAACAGGGATGTAAACTGGGGACCCCTGTTAGATACAATGTCAAGAAGCAGGCTGTGCAAATGGAAAACCTGATGAATCATCACTTTAGAAGTTTCACAGGCAGAGGGCAGTTTAGGCAAATCAATGAAGTGACACATCTTGGAAACTCGATCCACCACAGTGAGGACAACAGTTTTACCTTTGGAGGCAGGTAGATCCATGATGAAATCCATGGACAAGTGGGGACAGGGTTGATGAGATAGGTAAGGGTTGTAGAAAACCTGACAGGGGAGTCTTGGATGCTTTGTTGCAGGCAGACTCGGGGCAGGTTGACACATATTCCTTGATGTCTTTAGTCATGGAGAGCCTCCAGAAGCATTGTCTGACCAAGGGTAGAGTGAATTAGGCACTTGGATGGCAGAAAAATTTGGAGCCATGACATCACTGGAGCACCTGTGGATATAAATGGACTGGAATAAACTCACAATCCTCGGGGCAGTAATTGGGCCCTGGTTCAGTGTGGTTGGCTGCCAAGATGCACGGCTCAACTGGCCAGCAGACCACATGAAGGCAGAGTGGTGGTGGCAGGATGTAGCTGTCATCTTCTCTCTCAGAGGTGTCTAAGAGCTGCGAGCACAGTATGTCTGGTTTGCCATTCCCAGAACCTGGGCAATAAGAGAGATTGAAGTTAAAACAGTTAAAAAAAGAAGGCCCACCTGGTTGATGGCTGTGGAGTCTTTGGTTCTCACATACTCCAGGTTATGATGGCCAGTCCCACATCCTCCAGCCAGTGCCTCCATTCTTCCAAAGCCAGCTTAACTGCCAGCAGTTTTTTATTCAGAAAATCACAATTTCTTTCAGCCAGTGATGGTTGTGGGGAAAAGTAAGCACATGAATGTTATTTCTGATTAGCAACTGACCTTTGAGACAAGACTGCTTTGACCTCCAGGCCCAAGGCATCCACTTTGAGTATGAACTACCAGTGGGGATCAGGAACAGTGAGTATGAGGGCAGAAGTAAACTTGGCCTTAAGGACGGAAAAAGCCTTGTCAGTTTCAGGTGTCCAAGAACATGCCCAATGGCCAGACATGAGCTGATGTAAAGGTGCTGTAGCCTTGGATGAATTTAAGTGTAAGGATAATCACCTTTACTGGCCAAGTATGTTACACACAAGGAATTAGTTTCCGGTACAGAACCGAAGCAGCCATATGCGGCACCAGCTCAACCTATGGCTCTAACCATCGGAGGCAATGGGGGGGTTCAGTGTCTTGCCCAAGGACACTTTTACATGTGGACTGCAGGCACCGAGATTTGAACCTTCAACTTTCTGGTTGGAGACAACTGCTCTACCCACCACACTGTCGCCTCCCCAATTTCTGATAGAAGTTAACAAATCCTAGAAACTGCTGGACTTGTTTCTTAGTTCAGGGATAGGCCAGTCAATAATGACCTGAGCCTTCTTGGGGGTTTATCTGAATGGAACCTGCAGAGATCACATATCCCCAGAAATTAAGTCACACTTTTAAGCCTTGACATACAACTGAAGCAAGCACCACAGGACAGTGTGAACATGAAGAACATGCTCGTCCTGTGAATATAAGAATGTCATCTAAACACACAAAGACAAATTCATTGAGCCTGTCCCTATGAAAATCATTTACAAAAACCTGAAACATCACTGGGGCATTCGTGAGACCAAATGGCATTAAGAGATATTTGTAATGACCACCGGGAGTGTTGAATGCAGGCACTCCTAAGGTCAAGCTTTGTTAAAATGGCCGCTCCCTGCTGAGGTTTAAAGCTATTGGAAATGAAGGGCAAGGGGTGCTTGTTTTTTATGGTGATATCATTTAGGCCTCTGTAATTGATCCATGGTCAGAGGCTTCATTCGCTCTTCTCCACAAAGAAGAATCCAGGAAGGATGGATGATTTGGGCACCTAGTGACTCACCACTGTACCTCATAGGCACATGTTCCAGAGAAGACAGAAAGTAATGTTGACCCCTTGGGGGGAGTGGTGACAGTTACCAGATCAATGCCACATTTGTAGGGATGATGAGAGAGTAGCAAGGTGGCCTTAGATTTACTGAAAACCTCCTTGAGGTCCAGATATTCTTTGGGCACTTTAGACAGATCAGGAAAGTGTTCAGGTACAGGAGAGCTCATAGGTAGAGAGGAAACAGCAGATCTGTGACATAATGACAGACAATGAAAGCTCCACCCCAAAACCTTGCCAGAGGACTAATCTTCATGGGGATTTTGAAGTTATAGCCATGAAAGTCCCAAGATAACTGGAAGCTGGGGTGAATAAATGATATAAAAGCTAATGTCTTTGCCCTGGTTACCAGACATGAGGAGATGAAGCAATCTGGTGAGCAATCCAGTGTAGGAGATGGCCATCCAAAGCTATGACCTGCACAGGTTCTTCTAACTGTTCCTCTGGTATGCCCAATTTGGAGGCCAGTCCCTGGTCAATGAACCCTGTATCCACTCCTGAGTCAATAAACACCAACAAAGTTAGAGTTAGAAAGGGAAAAGTAACTGAGCCTGAAATGTTGATTGAGAGGTGGAAATTAGAGACAAGGCTTGGTTCAAAGAGTAGTGTCAGAAAAGCACATTGAAGAGAGGATCCAATTTCAAGAGACAAGTAGTATAAAAACACTTAACAAGAAATGTATTAATTTGTTCTTGAGAAATAACAGTGGGCCAAAACAACACTTGATGGGGCACTAAAAAACCCAGGTAGCTTGAGGCAGATCAGGTTCAAGTCCAGGATAGCAAGTAGCAGACCAAATTGCTTTCTAAAATACAAGATGGAGAATACCTATCTTTTTACAGGACAAGCAATAGTTAACTGCTATTCATGGGCTCAGCAACTGAGCAAAATGATAAGTAACAAAATCCATCTCCACAGGATAGTGATAAATTAACTTAATTTTCTTCACAGATTCTGAAATGGTGAGTAAAAAAAAAGACTTGTCTCTACTGGATAGACAAAGAAACTTCACTTCTCTTCTTAAAAGGCATGTTACTAAACAGTCTTCAGGTTTTCATTGAGATAAAGCTGGCAAAGTCACATGATAGGGGAAACCCCTTGGCATGCAATGTTTAAGGCATAGAGCCAAAACCACGTCACGGAAAAATCCTGTTCACAAGTCAGAGCTGTGATCTAGGTGGTTATAGTCTCTTGCCTTGCCTTGCCACAGAGGTATGTACAAGGAAGCCGTCATAGCTGCATGGAGGTATTTAGGGTCAGCTGACTGGAAAAACACAGATGAGAAGAGAATGACATGAGTGGAGGGCATGGATGCTGAACACACTCTGGCCGAGGCATGTGAGGACATACCTGCAACACAAAAGGGGACCACATAAGTGCAGGCAAAATAAAACAAGGCATGCTCATGACAGCATAAGTGGTAAAGAACAAAACATTTCAAATCTGAGTGGGTAGTACATGTGTAAAAGCATAAATACAAGAATAAGATGCAAGTTGCATTCAGAATATAACTTGAAATATATGCATACATACAGTTATGTGAAATACTGACTATATTGGAGGTTTGCATAGGTGCAGAGAATGATAAGATATCTTTGGGGGAAAAAGTTTTTCATTTGTCTTTTTCTGTATTTTAGTCAGAGCTAATAGAAATAATGCTAACTTTACTGTGCATGTACGGAACACAGCAGACACAGTGTATTTCCAGACCCCAAGGAGATAGTCATGATACCCATGTATCATGTTGGAAAACTTTAACTAGGTTGCTCATTAAACCTGACATTTGTTGGGAAGTATTGTTCATTGTGTACTCACTGTGCAAGTTCATTTCTGATGAACTGCACCTGATTTTTCTACTAGACCACCAATTTTCTTTGACTGATGTGACATTACCATGACTTACAATATGAACAATTAGACACTAATTATAGATGTTTGTAGCATAACAAATTATCAGTCAAGTTTTTTGTTTGTTTGTTTTTTTGAATATATAGTGTAAAGTGAGGTGTAGTTCTATTACCATTAAAAGGTAGAGCTGGACTGTTTACAGTTATTAAGCATGTGATGCTCAGTACTATTGTTGACTAATATTTCTTGTTATTGGTAATCAGATAAGACAGTATACATGTGTAATGACCATGACTCATCAGTTTAATATACAGTAGTGTGTATGAATCAGCTGGCTTAAGCCCACTTAAAAGTGTAGTGATTACATTCATTCATTTTCTACCGCTTAGTCCCTGAATGGGGTCGTGGGGGGGCCGGAGCTAATCCCGGCCAGCAATCAGGCGAAGTCGGGGTACACCCTGGACAGGTCGCCAATCCATCACAGTGTAGTGATTACAAATCACCATAAACATTATGTCATGTTGAAGCTCTGAAGGGATTCCTGAGTGCCATTTCTCTGTGTCCACCAGATGGGCGGCATGGAGGCAGTTATCACAGGCCTGACAGATGACTTTAAGATCCTCAAGAGAAACAGGAAGCTCTTCACCTTCATCACAGCCTTTGGAACCTTCCTGGTGGCCTTGCTCTGCATCACTAATGTCAGTATCAAGTGTCATATTGCCATATATTTTCACTCAGGATTTGAACAAAATCCCATTTTCCACATAATCAATGTAATGTTGATGTAATGAGGGAGTTATTTAGAAAGGTTTAGCTTTGTGTTTTTATCAACTATAATAAGGAAGTGAATGCTAACTTATCCATGTTATTTGCCTGGCACAACATACAGATTGTCCAACCCAGGATACATATGGGGATTATGTATGCTCAGACCTAAACTAACTACACTGAGAAAAGCAAACCGACCATATATGTACAGCACAGTGCATTACATCACATTTGAGAGACCACTGCTTATTGACTCCACACAAGGGTCTGCTTAACTTTAAGGCTGAACATTTATACACAGTACACACACAGAGTAAATTTGGTCTGTTAATTTCCCTCTCTTTAGGGTGGGATCTACGTGCTAACCTTGTTAGATAAGTATGCAGCAGGGACTTCTATATTATTTGCTGTGTTGATCGAGGCCATTGGAGTGTCGTGGTTTTATGGTAAGATATTAAGTATTTTGGTATTATCTTTCTAAAATTGCTACATTTACACCATAACAATTACCAGCTAATTAGGAAAATAAGACTGAAAAATGTACCCATGCTCCTCATTTTGCCAAAATCTTAAAATAAGAAACCCACTGAAGCACAGTATTTACAGATGACACAAGTGCCAGTGGCAAACAAGGTTGAAAAAATGAGAAACTGAGTTAACAGAAACCTGTTTTTAGATTCAGCCAGGCAAAAGCTACAAAGACCAGAGGAACATAACAAAATTTGGTTTAGTGATTATAATTTACATGTGTTTTTTTGTAGCAAGCAATACATTACAGTAACCTGTTGATGGGCAAGATCAACAAAACAAAATGATACAAAAAGGCAAATAAAACAAAGCACATATAGTGTCATAAGATTGTATGGTGGGACACATAGCAGGCATGTATATAACCCATCAGGCCTAGTCAAATTACAGACAAAATTGTTAGGGTCTGAGAGAGTGAGGACCTAAATGCAGATACAGGCGCAAGGGCTAGAAAGGATAACCAGACTAATGATAAACCTGAAAAGTCCAGAGAACCAGAGCCACTGTACAGGCCAACAGAGAAAGGGAAGAACTACACAGGAAAAAAGGTACAAAACTACTAAATAGTAAAGGAATACAATTAAGCAAACACAAGAAAACACAATATGCAGCTAAATAGCACAACACCAACATAAGCTCAGATCTGACTAGACAGAGGAAACTAGAGGAATGCAAAATGAACAAAGTCAGGGTGCAGATAAAAGAAAAACCTAATAACAAGTGCTACCAAAGTATTCATCGACTATGTGAACAAAGAACACGATAAACCAGATACGTGGGACAGTCCATCTAAACTAGTTCATAAACAACAGTGGGCATGAGGGGTAGAAATGATGCTGAAAACAGAAGTAAACAATCACGGTGACATGAACAGATGAACCAGCAACCTGACTGAGGGATGTGAGGTGATTATAAAGGTTGAACGAGCGAGGCAATGAGGGCAATCATTGATACAGTAAAGCTAGGGCTGATGAGATGGCAAGAGACAGAAAATGACTACAAAATAAAAGCATAAATGTGTTATATTCTCTCCAGCTGTCTAGTGAGGCTGCATAGTTGGCACAAAAAACTTTCTGGACATTGACTGAATCTTGAAGTTATGTAACTTCACTTTTCACTGTAACTTTTGCTGTGTAACATTTCCTGCCCTCCCCAGGCGTGGACCGCTTCAGCGAAGATATCCAACGTATGATGGGCTTTAAGCCAGGGCTCTATTGGAGGCTGTGTTGGAAATTTGTCAGCCCAGCTTTTCTGCTGGTGAGAGCAAAAATAAACATTTGCGTATTCACATTAGGTCTTGTTTTGCTGGAATGACATGTGATCCTAGGCAGAAGCCAAACACCAGATAAATCAACAATTACAAGAGTAACAGTAAAATGATGTATTCCAGTAACTATAATTCACAAATGCTTGCAAGCTGTACTAATGTAGCATTCATTGCAGCATGCAGTAAATTTTGTTAGCATGGGTGTCAGATCACAGGAACAATTATTGACCCACCACCACAGAGCCTCATATTCAGTGACCAGCACTCGTGCTTCCTGCAAAAGGATAGTTCGAAACTCTGCGCCTCCTTGTGGGTTCCTCACTGGCAGAAATAAATAGCTTGTGACGCTACGTGCGTTAGAGGAAGCACATGGCTATGTCCAGCCATTTGTATATGGGCAAATATGTTTCTTCATATACACAGCAGTAGAGGTTTACAGTAATAAGAAGAATTGGTCATTCTATATTGTGCAAAAAGGAGACAAAAATAAATTACATTTGTTTATAGCTATATTTTAGTACTGACTGCAGCATTGCAAGCTTTTGAAATCTAAAAGTGCAATTACATCTACATCTACAGCTACAACTGCAGCTTCTGTATATCTGTCCTCTGCTACAGTGACTTCTTTCATCATTATACCATAAGAGATGAGTGATGTGACTGAGAAAATAATTCTGCTTGTATTAATGAAAACACATAGTGTACATATGCCCTCAGTGTCTGTATGTACATGTGTGTATGCCTGCAAGTCAAAAAAAAGTGTGAAGTCCAACCTTGTGGGTCTGCTGCTTCTCACAACGAATTAGACCAAAGAGGCTTGAATGAGTGACTGACAGTTATCTTCTGAGTGCTACATGTCAAAGCTGACATTTTACACACAAAGTGTAAAGTGCTGTGGCCTTCGGTAGCCACTAAAAGGACAAGGATGCTGACTTCTCAGTGAAACTGCAAATGATGTTTCTAAGAGAGAGAGGGCATGTTGTGCAGTGGTGACTTTAGCCTAGAACAGGTTAATCAGGTTCCAGGCAGAGAAAACAGTGTACAGATGCCTAACTCAGTTCAGAGAGAGAGTCTTCACATGGGGAGTCTGTTTTGATAACTTTGTTTTGGCTTTTGACCTGTGTCTATTTTATTCTTTTCTTCATGCTCCCTCAGCTTCTCTCTCTCTTTAAAATTAGAGACTTCAAACAATACAAGCAAATAGATGTAATACTCTTAATGTGTGGGTCTCTCTTTCTTTCCATTCTTCTCTCTTTTACAGTTTGTAGTAATAGCCAGTACACTGACATCATCAGGCCTAAAGTACGATGACTACATTTTCCCTAACTGGTCCAACCTGGTTGGCTGGGGTGTAGCCATGTCCTCCATGTTGCTTGTCCCTGTCTACGCTTTGTATAAGTTCTTCAGTACACCAGGAACATTCAAACAGGTCGGTATCAAAACATGTTTGTCAAAAAGAGTGAAAAATAATTGCTACCTCTTTACTAAAAAATATTTAGTAGATATTTGAGTAGTCAGACAGAAATTGCAAGATGACTAACAAGATGATCACTGAAAAGGAGGGAATTCTGGTAACTGCAAATCTAACTGACACAAGCGCTTTGTGAGAAGAGTTTGTGCAGGTACACAGTACAAATAAAACTGGATGTCCCACACTGTAAATGCAAATTGTATAATAGTAGCCAAATACAGTCAAGCAGAACAGTTGTAACTAAAGAGCATACAGTTTGTTCTTCTTTCAAACAAAACTTTAAAAAAATAATCTGATTTAGGAGTAATCTTTCCTCCCTCAGCTTGATGACACTGGCATTTTAAGAATTCATTCAGATAAACATGATTGTTTCAAAGCACTGAGAATTTATGACTGTAATCGTCAAAGCACTGGAGAGCTTTTTCGTCCATCAGCAGTCGACCAGTGTCAACTTTGTCTGATTATAACAGTTCCCACATCCTTTAGCATTTCCCATTGGATCTCAGAGTTGAAGATTCCTCTCAGGTTCTCAGGAAACGGGTTAATCCTGACAAACTCCTGTCACAGTTATCAGGTTTTAGCTACATCCTCCTCACAATAACCAGAACAAACATCTCTGAAGTCCTTCACAAGGATTCCTCACAGGTTCTAAAACAATGGCATCACTAATCTGAGAAGTTCATAATGATTGGTTTACTAATCATTGGTAGACTGCTTGAAAATATGCACAAGAAAAGTCAATTAAGAAGCCAAGCATTTAATAATTAGGCAAAAAAAACAAGTTTTAGGAAGATATATTAAATCATCAGTGTGGTTGTATGCCTTAAAGATGATACACTTGTGTAAGAGAATGATGTGTTGTAATTACTTGTTTTCTAGAGGATAGCCTACTGCATCACTCCAGAGCATGAACATCATATGGTGGCTGAGGGAAATGTACGGCAGTTCAAAGTAAGGGCAATATTTGTGCTGTTTTTTTTAACAGTGTTAACCTGAATTATCTAGGAAGCTGCAATTAATCTAAATTAAAAGCACATTCAGTTATTTGTGCACTGTGAAAATGAACAATTTGAAAACTAGGCAAAACAGATAGTGATAACACATGTGGGTGTAGACCTATTAAAGAATGTCCTATAAATAAAGCAGATGGAGATATAACCAGTCACTGCAAATAACAAAAGAAAAGATCATTATCAATGTCAACCAAGTCAGTAAAATGGAATTAAATATTTATGACATTAAGTCAACAAACAAACCCAGGACTTTCTTTTGTTTTCCAGCTCAGGCATTGGTTGGCCATCTGATGACAAATACCCAGAATTCCCTCACAGCCACCCTCACTTGTGTGCCACAGTCGTTCGACAGACAGGGAAAGCAACAGACTCCAACTCCTGTCAGTGGCCTCCCTCTGCTGTGTATTTACTACCCAAGGCCTTTGTTGTCAATAGTGACTTCAAGCACTTTGATTTCAGAGTCTTGCCTGTTAACATTCTGAAATCATTCTACAGCTTTGGCTCAGAAGGGAGGGGCATCTTGTGGGAATATTTACTGTTATTTGACAATGGATATATTATATTATGTTTTTATATAGCATTTTAATTAATTAATCACAACTTAAGTTATCATTTCCTATAGTCTGTAATGTGACAATTATCTCGTAGAAGGGATCGAAACCAAAATAACAACCAAAACATTGGCCTTATCCCTGTGTACTAATATACAGGAGATCAAAAGTGTAAATTTTTACATTTCTTTATATGTTATTAGTGTCACATGTTGTCACTCTCTTTGGCTGAGTGACTTATCTGTCTCAGTGCCTTATCGAGACACAACATGTTTCTTACAGTCCGTACAGAAAAAATAAAATAAAATAAACTGTGTTGACTCAGGAACCCATTAAATAAAACCACAGTTTGTAGATGGCAATCTCTGTTTTGGCCCAGTCCTTTGATACTCATGTCAAAGAGCCCAAGGTCAACAGTACTTCAAGGTCAAACTCGTGGTAAAACAGATGTGATATAACACATTGTGTTACAGAAAAGGGAATTATGCATGCATCGTTACAATGCTTTAAAGAAAATGAGGCGGGTTTCATTCATCTTGTATGCTATGAAAGGGCAGACTCACAACCAGGTCTCATTCTCAAAGAAAGCCTATGACTGAACCTGGTCAGTCCTTTTCTGCTCACTGAAGGTAAAGAGTAAAAATTCAGCAAAACAAATAGTCCATGTGTTAAAAACAGTTTTATTGTTGTGTGGCTTCCCATTTTTTTTTTGTCTGTTCAGTGCTTCTGAGGAATATCTATGGCTTTTCCTTCCAAGAGACAGTGAGAGATGGAGAATACTGTATGTGTGTGTCTGTGCCTGTGTGCTTAGTGAGAGTCTGTTGTCAAGCATACACTATGGTGTTAGTGTACAGTACATGAAGATGTGACATCTATCAGTTGCCTCTTTCATTGTACTGTAAATTAACTATTATGTTAAATGTATGACAACAACTCATGTTTTCATTTTAAACACATCATGTGATGTTACCCTTACGAATATTTTGAATGATCTTTTCCTGTTTCTTTTTTTTATTTATTAAAATAAAGTTGAATTTTAATCTTAAATCACAACAAATCACCCTTATTGAAAGCCACAAAGGAAAAAATAAATAAATATGTGTGAAATATATAGGATATAAAAAATATATTCTTTTGTTATATCTAATCTTATATTTATCAAATTGTTTATAACAAAACGTGAATGTAAAGTATTTTAAATGTAACTGTCCACAGTCATAATATGGTGTTTGATGTATAGCTAAGATTAACTATTTAGGAAAAAAATATCCCTCTGTGTAACCTGGGGTACTTTGTCACATTCAGATATGGACAAATACACTCTGGCTTTCCTGGATTATGTTTACAAAAATACTGTGTACAATACCAGTGTCCTGTTGAACGTAAGTGACAACTATCTATGAAGAAATCAGAAGTATTCAAACTATGATAATAAAGAATTTCTTCTACACACAAACCTGAAGTCCACGCTCTGTCATTTAATCTCAGTTTTCACAGACTGTCAAAGAGAAAAGGACAAAACCAGCAGTTTGAAAGGAGATTATGGAGTGTTATACTACTAGCAGCTGTTGTAGCCTTGAGCCACTAGCCTCAAGCAGAGATGAGGATCAGGCTACAGTGGTCTGGTAAACTTTTTTCCTAATGCCACTGCTCCAGATATTTTTCATTTTTAAACTCCCCACCATCACCCCCAACCAACATTGCCTCAATTGGTATCACATGAGGCTATTTACAATCTAAAGGACAAGTGGTATAGCTAATGGAATGGAATGGCAATGTGAATAACATTTATAGGGCTTATTAGACAGTTGGTATTTTTGTTTTGGTAGGCAGAGTTCCCCTTACTCCAGGACTCTAAACTTAATTAACTCTGTTTAGTTTCAGTGCTGACAGGGGGGTTCTCATTGTGGCTTACTCTGCCTTTCCACTTTGTTTCTTTGTTAGTCTGCTGCAAGGGCGTGAGACATTTTCTGATTCCAATGACATATCCTAAATGCACACTGTATACCAACTATTTTCAGTAAATGATAAAAACAAAGTGTGCTTCTTTGGGTTGTGCCTGTGTAAAGAAAAACTGTGAAATAATTTCCTGATGTCTGATATTATCCAGCGAAATGTCTGTAAAGTACAGACAGGAGCATCAGAGTGGATTCTCAAGACTGGCGACATGTAGGAGTGGCCCTGGGCTATGAAGCAAATTTGGTGTAGTGGCCAAAATGAGTTACAACATCTGCATGCATCGTGTGAGGTGCATTGGTTCAAAAGGCATTTTTTCCAAAAAGAATCACTGGACAAGGGATGACTGTAAAACAGTGAATACATTTTTCTAAGCGTCAAAAACATTGGAATGTTTTCATTAGCAGATTTTGATCCAGTATCATTTGAAAAGTCATCACCCAGGTAATTTTATGGCTGGAGTCTGTAACTATGAAAAAAAAAAAAAGATTTAGAGTATGCATCGCTTAGCAACCTTTATAGATATGAGATAGGTGCCATCTTGTAATCCAGTTGTTAATACATCCAGGGATGCGATATTTCTTGAAGGAGTCTTACTTTTATATGTTCCAGTTGCCCCCATTCATAACATGTTACAAAGAATGAAGGTAAAATGTAAACGCACTAAGCACAAGAAAATGTCTGGAAACACTGTGGGATTCACCATTCAGGTATTTTTAATGGAAATCCAGTCAAGCTAAGATGATAACATTAATTTCTGACTAGAAAAAAATAATCGGTGATGCTGAATTATTACTCTTAGAGTAAAAATGTAGGTGCAGAGATCTTGAATTATTCTGGCTGATCACACTGTAAATATGTCAGGTCCGCTCGCCGCGACCTGGCTCTCTTTCTTTTTTTCTCTCCTC